TATGTACTGTACATAAATTATTCTTATATACAATAACTTTTAAGAAGCGGTGTTGGGAAGTAACTAGTTACATGTAACGGAATTACGTAATTTAATTACAAAATAAATGTAATTGTAATCAGCTACAGTTACTGAGAAAAAAATGTGTAATTAAATTAGTTACATGAAATTTTTTTTAACGATTACAAATTTTTTCACGCACACACCCACGTACAGATTTAATTGATATCTTTCATAAATTGCCTTGACTGCTCTAAAATACGACACACCAATGTTTCAGGAGTTTAGGACCCAGAACAGAACACATGCTTATTCGATTACCGTTTTATTTACTATTTGGGTTAATGTTAGGGATGCACCGATATGAAAATTTTGGCCGATACCGATAACCAATTATAGTTATTAATGTTGTGCACTGCTGTTTGGGCTGCGTGTGCTGAGCTAAAGATGATCACCGGTAAACTGAAGCGCTCTTTTAACTTAACCAAACGCATTCTATATGAGATAAATCAGATATACATCAAATAAACACAATATTACAACGTAAAAACTGCACAAAAGGCTGCAAACGAACAGCGCGCATCTGAAGTGTCTCTGAAGGAAATAATGCATTATTTATCGGCTTTAAGATATCGGCCAAATTTTCTTATCAGGCCGATACCGATAACAGAAAAAATGAGCATTTATCGGCCGATACCGATATGGTGGCCGATATATCGTGCATCCCTAGTTAATGTATATGCTTTATTTTTTAAGATGAACTGTTTTTCCAAGGAGTTGTTAGATGCCACTCTTACCTGCTATAGCTATTCAAAGATTTGATTTCAAAAACAGTATCATAACTATTAAACTATATCTTATGATTTTAAATCTTTACTTAACCTCAGAACAATCTCAAATTAAAAAGGTTTTAAAGTCTGATTTCTTGGTGGCTGTGCTTTAAAATTTAATTATTATAATCTTAATTCAAGTGATGAAGGATTTTGAGTGTTGTTGAGTTCTACTGTAATGTTACCCTGTCTGGTTTAAATGTTTGAAAATGATTAACCGTTGAAAACATTTTAATTTTAGAAAAGTAATCAAAACGTAATCAAATAAAGTATTGAAATAGTTACACTACTTACTGCATTTTAAATAGGGTAACTAATCTTTAAACTATCACCTATTTCCAAAGTAACCTTCCCAACACTGTTAAGAAGCTACACTTGAATAATAATAATAATAATAATTTAAGTAACAAATAGTTAATTAAGTTGTTAGATATAGCCCAAAACGAAAAAATAATCTTTTTTTTTTTATTTTGCCATTGCTGTTGTAACAAAGCAAAAATAAGAACGTTACTAAAAAAAAAGAGTTTTGCATATCGTTTATCAGACACTTATCTGTCAATCTCTAGAAAAAGGTCCTGACCTCTCTGTGATCGTGCTGTTGTTGTGCATTCAGGAATATGGTACTCCTCATATTCATCACTGCAAACATCAACGCTTTTGTCAGAAGTTGAACTCTTGATGAAGTCCTGAAAACTGGGACCACATGCCAGTTTATTCTTTAACTGCACCACTCTTGTCTGATCGGTAGAGGATGATTTAGAGCAATAATATCGGTCACATGTGTCCCCTTGAAGGCGTCGTGACAAACATTTCCTAAAAGTAAATCTCCAGAGTCTGAAACTGCTGCTTATGTTCATGTCTTACTCACTTAACTGAACACACTTAACAGCTAAAAACAAACAAACGCATCACTGAACCATGACACTAATCAAAAAACGATTTACCCAAATGAACTACTCCAACAAATCTAGTGAAATGAAGAAAAGACTTATAAATGTCACGCAGCTGAGTACATGTGTAAGCGATGTAAATATGGCGACGCCGCTGTGATATATTTCAAAATAAAAGCCAGGCTTCTTCTTCTTCTTCATTGGAGTTTTACGGCAGTTGGCATCCATAGTGTTGCATTACTGCCATCTGCTGTCTCACTTTAACTTACTCTATCTGAATTAAATTCGTCCTTCCAGTCCAGTCCTCCTTAGAAAATTAAAGGGGTCATATGACATTGCTAAAAAGAACATTATTTTGTGTATTTGGTGTAATGAAATGTGTTAATGCGGTTTAAAGTAAAAAAAACACATTATTTTCCACATACTGTACATTATTGTTTCTCCTCTATGCCCCGCCTTTTTGAAACGTGTCGATTTTTACAAAGCTCATTGTTCTGAAAAAGTGAGGTGTGCTCTGATTGGCCAGCTAGCCAGTGCGTTGTGATTGGCCGAATGCCTCAAGCGTGTGACGGAAATGTTACGCCCCTCACATACTGTTGATGCCGTGTCCGGCCAGAGCGACGAGACATAAACATTAAAACCCATTACAAACGAGGCATTTGTTGCATCCAGTGGGGACATAATTACTGATTATAATGACTTATACTGCCTTTTTACGCGTTGCGTTGCATTGCATCGCTCCGCGTAAACATAAAACTCTGTCTGCATTTGTGATTGGAGAAATGACAAACAACAAGTTCTACTCTACTGCCCAAAACTCGCTTTTGAATCATCAGGGGCAACAAAAAACACAGCGGTCTAGCGTGAGGGGAAGCCCCGGCTTAGCGTGCGCTGAGGCCGGGATAGCGTGAGCTGAGGCGGGCTGGACTCCACTTTGTCCACGGTGAAAGCTGATGTATTCTCTCAGTGACCAGCACAGATCAGCTTTAGGCATAACGAAGCGGATATCGTCCTCTTTTGGAAGACCAACCAAAGTAGTTTCGCTTTCACAATGAAGCACACAGCGTCTTCACGACATGGCTGCAGCGTCAACAATACTACAGCGAGAATAAAAGTTACGCCTTCTTTCTTTGCGTGAACATTTGGGCGGCGTTATGCAAATCTTCCCACATAGTGACGTAGGTATGTGGGGGCGTGTTAGAACGAGCCGTTTTAGGTAGGCAATATCTCTTTAGTGTTTGCAAATTCGAAGATCATCTTTATGCACCAAGAGCTTGTAGCACTCCAAAGAGAAAGGAAAAATTGAAATCGCATGATATGACCCCTTTAAACAAATATCTCCGTCCTTGGTCATTATTTCCATATGTTAAAAGCCAGGCTAAAAAATGGCCATAGTTTTATAGGCTATAAGATTATAAAACTATAAAATAAAATATCACAGCTACTACAGTTACAGATAAAATAAATAATCTTGGAGCCTCTTTCAAATATCTTATTCATTAATTATTATTTTATTGATAGTTGTGTGCTGTCTCCAAAAAATTGGTTAAAATGCTTCCTTTCTTTTTTCAAGCCACTTTATTTGAGAAAGGTTTTATGCAGTTCGTGATGTTTTAAATAGACTTTTGATAACAATGTATTTAAAATAAGTGGGCTTAATCAGTTTTTATTTATTTATTTATGTTTTTTTTTTTTAGAAATAAATAGAGTAGTATGGAATTAATTTCCCAAATGTTCATGCAAATGGATAAAAGCTAATTTTTAAGTGTAATTCTTCAATTGAAAAACACTAGAAAACAGTGTTCGTAAATACATCTAAATGCCACTTAAGATGCCTTAAGATATTTGAGTCACAACAACGTTGTAGGCAAACGCTCAAAGATGATGAGAAAGGTTAATAAGGCTTTCATATAAGAGTTAGGCAATCCAAACACAAGGGTAACATCAACGTATGCTCTGACACAAACAATACCAGACAAATAAGAGGTGGAAAAATAAAAAAGAGAAATTGAAATACAAATGAGAGAATGGAAACACATGAGAGCCAGGAACTAAAACAAATGAAACGTGACTGGGGAAAAACCAACTAAAAATCCATTCATTTTTTTAAATATATAATTATATATAACTGAACATAACTGTTTGTTAATACTGATTTAATTTGACTGGCAACAGTCCTATAGTGTCTTATTATTCTAATTGCATCTTTATTAAATTCTTTTAAGAGCATTTAACAAAAGGTTAGAAAAGTTGCCCTTTTAAAGGTTAAAAAAATACCCCTGGAAATCAAAGGGGGCAAATATCACCTCTTATTAGAAAAGTTAACTGCTTAGTTTTTGGACTACTTTTCCTTTTTTATCCTGGCCTTACCGAATTCTCATTTAGATTCATCATTTTTGGTGTTGTTTTTAGGACAGAATCCAGTGGCATAGGCGAAGATACACAGTGTAGGTCTTTTACTTGCGCTTCTGTAAAGTTCACTTAATTTATTAGAATTTAGTTTCAATTTGATTTAAGCTCTGTGCTTAATCTAAATTCAATTTCATTAGAGAAGATTATTATTCATTTAGTTCTGATTTAATTTGTATATTTAAAACTTCTGGTATCGCCTTACTGTTCATTTATTTGTTCATTAGTTCATCATTTTGTAATGAATTATTTCCCTGCTGGTATCTTGGCCCACTCCTCACTTGAAAAATGTTTTTGAGATCACTAATAATCTTTGGTTTTCATGTTGCTCATGTCTGCTTTCTTCAAATCCCACCAAATATTTTTCGAGTTTGAGACTCGAACCCGCAACCTTTGGGTTACAAGTCAGACTCTCTAACCCGTTTTTACTATATACTTGCATGGAAAGATTAATTCTTAAATTGTCCTTTGTCTTTCAGAAAAAAAGCAGTAGTTTGGAACAAATGCGGTTAAGTAAATAATTACATGACAAATTACAGCAAGAGAGAAAGAGAGAGAGAGAGAGAGAGTGGGGGTTGCGGCATAGAGAGAAGGGAGGGAGGGAGGTGAGATTTTTTATATATAAAACAAGAGGTACAAAAGAGGGGTACAAATTGCCTACCTGAGTCTTTTTAAACTCTCTTATTCAGCATCACCGAGAATAAAACCAAACCCTGAGTACGAATTACATGACAAATTACAGCAAGAGAGAAAGAGAGAGAGAGAGAGAGAGTGGGGGTTGCGGCATAGAGAGAAGGGAGGGAGGGAGGTGAGATTTTTTATATATAAAACAAGAGGTACCTGAGTCTTTTTAAACTCTCTTATTCAGCATCACCGAGAATAAAACCAAACCCTGAGTACAAGTGACCAACATCTCATGTCTTTGTTCATTAGACTGTCAGAGGAGCACATCACCAACCATACAAGGTAAACTCTTCAATCTTTCTCCTGTCAAAAGACTATTCAATTTAGGAATTAAGAATTATTTTACATTAGAAAGTAAAAATACTTAGACGGTTGTTTGTTGTATAGGTTTATCATCAAGAACCTTTTTTGGCTGCCTATATTTCTTTGGAGTCTTAAAGCTTCCTGATGTTAGATTGAACATTCTTCAGATCTGTTCACCAGTTTATTGTGTTCTTTTAACCTAAAAGCTAGGAATGCTCACTGTAAAACACTTTTTGGTTCTAAATGGAACTTTTTTGTTCAAGAGTGAAATAGGAATGTTTTAGTAACAACAACAACAATTATTATTATAATTCTAAATTGTGAAATTAATAATAATTAATAATTGTAATAATATACAATAAAAATGTGATACAAATTGATTAATTTACAAAAATAGATTAATAAATAATAATAATTAATAATAGAGTAACATAGAAAAGCAGGAGTTTATATACATATATACATACATTACAGTCAAACCAAAAATTATTCAGACACCAGATATAATTTTTGATATCTTTTTACTAGTAGGTGAAGGACATTATTTATGTAAGTGAGGATAAAGTAAACTGTGACATATTATACCCCAAAGTTCTTCATACAGTGGACTACCAGCAAGATTGATAAAAAAAATTGGGACAAAAATTATTCAGACACTTTGACCTGACCATGTTTTGTTTAAGTGTTTTGCTTTAATTGCTAATGTGAACTTTTTACACAACAGACTGAACAAAATGAATAATTTCTTGGTAATTGGTTGACCTAATTTGGTATTATCTAATTGAGTACTTAAATTTAACAGCTGACAGCTATTCAACCTAATTCATTACACACCTTTATCAAAGTTATCTGACATTATCAAGATGAATTTGTTCTGACACAGTTTAACTCTGAGTTCTTTTCATATTTTATTACCATTTTCCAAACTATAGCGAATAAACTGTGACAATGTATATAGTATATATATATATGTATATACTGTATATAGCTTCAGTGGGTGTGAATCATAATGTGAACTGTGTTTTTAGTGAGAATGATGCAGAGAACTGCCCTGCTATTGCTCTGCTGCCTGTTACTGTCAGCGACATCTTCCCCAGTCCATCCACTGAGGTAAGACAGACCAAAACCAACTGTCATTATAGTTTTTTTAAATAATATTTGATATTTTTTATTTTTAATGCAAGTTTGGTGTTTTAATTGGTGTAATTACATGTTTGACAACATTTTCTGTCAATTACCCCGTTCAGTAGTGTGTGTGTATATATATATATATATATATATATACTCAGGAAAAAAGAAGAAAAGAAAAAGAAATGTCCTCTCACTTATAACTTCTTTTACTTCTAACAAATTTCTTAATGTGTAGATCAGCGGTCGGCAACCTTTTGGGCATGAAGTGACAATTTTCACTTTTCTGGTTAACCACTGTGCCTATAATACCGCCCCACTGGGCATCTTTCTTCTGTGTTTTTCAGAGTCAGCAAAATGTCTTTGTACTGTCCTAAGTAATTACAACTGTGATCTTAATTGACTACTGCCTGTAAGCCGTTACACTCTTAAAAATAAAGGTGCTTCACGATGCCATAGAAGAACCTTTTTGTCTAAATGGTTCCATAAAGAACCTTTAACATCTTTGTGGTGAAAAAAGTTTATTCAGATTATAAAAAGGTAAGAAAGAGATGGTTCTTTAAAGAACCTTTGACTGAATGGTTCTTTGTGGAACCAAAAATGGTTCTTCTATGGCATCGCTGTGAAGAACCTTTTGAAGCACCTTTATTTTTAAGAGTGTAGTGTCTTAAGTTAGTGGTTTCATTAATTCTGTAATTTGCAATTGCTTTAGAAAAGTTATTCCTTAACACTAGAATTTGAGTGGTAACTACTTGAGCCTTGTTCAAATATACACAGTGTCGTTATATATACGAAACGGCCCTGAGGGTGCAGGTGTTCTGCTTGCAACTGATGGAATTAGGGGTGCCGAATTGTGTTTTTGACAAGTCAAGTATCCGCAAACCACTTCTTCCACATGTTTCCTAAAACCCTTCGGCCACCAGATTGCATTAAAATGTGAACACATTTGAAAAACGCCTAAGTGTCCAACATTGTGTATCTGTGTGGCCAAATAAGGAATTAAGGCTTTTGGAGCTACAATTCACTGTTGATATCTCCAAATTTTGTCATCTGTCAATTTGCAACCATTTTCAATCCATTCCCATTTCTCCTCTCGGGAGCATTGATCCTACATCTCAGCTATCTCTGTGAGCTGTGAGTAGTGTGTCACACTTAGATGACATGTTTAAGCAGTAGAAGTTTCTGCTGCTCTTGCGGCGGCAACCGCAGATGCCTGGTCAGCAAGGGTATTTCCTTTAACCTCACTAGAATCTCCCTTCAGGTGGGCTTTCACTTTCAGCACCGCAACCTGTTTTGGGAGCTGCAGAGCCCTCAGAAGTCCCTCCACCTCTTGACCATTCTTAATGTGCGTTCCTTCAGACATGAGGAAACCTCTCTGCTGCCAACCTGCTCGGAAGTCATGCACAGCGCCAAAGGCATAACGAGAGTTAGTATAAATGTTAGCCGTTTTGTTGTTAGCCAATTCACATGCTTTTGTGAGCGCGATCAATTCAGCTTGCTGAGCTGACGTTCCCGGTGATAGGGCACCAGAAGCTAAAACTTCTGAGTCTGTGGTTACTGCCCAACCTGCCTTGCGTTCCCCTTTGTCCACAAAAGATGAACCATGAGTGTATAAAATCAAATCAGGATTTTGAAGTGTTCATCTACACTTAATGTTTGTACAATTTCTACACAATCATGACAGTCGGGAATTGCTTCAGACAAAGCAAGCAATGTAGCTGGATTTGATAGAGTGGCTTTTTCAATAGGGATATTTGGCATTTCTAGTGCAATGGACCATTTGATCCATCTAATCCATCTAGGAAGTGTTACACGAGCAGCTCTCCCTAGAGATAACAGTGCATGCACAGAGTGTGGGCAGTGAATGGTTATCTTTTGGTCAAGCATTACGGGTGATGCGCATTGCAAGGCAAAATAAACTGCCTGAACTGCTCGTAAACACGGCCCCCAGCCTTGTGAAACATTGTCAAGTTGCTGTGAATAATACTCTACAGGTTTATTTTGATCTCCCCATTCTTGGGTTAAAACAGATGTAGCCTTTTTGTTCGTTCACATGCAATGTTAAAGACTTTCTGTGATCGGGCATTATGCTTTGCATAAGGCATGTTTCAATTCCTCAAAAGCCATTTTAGCTTCAGGAGTCCAGTCAACTGGGTCTTGGGCTCTTGGATTTCCCTTTAACAAATTGTTTAAGGGTTGTGATTTTTCTGCATACCCTTTAATCCAACTACGACTGTAATTACATAGGCCCAAAAAGGATCTCAGCTCTCGAATGGTTTGAGGAATTGGATGTGTTTTAACAGCCTCACAGCGAATAGGTGTTATTCGCCTCTCACCCTGAGATATACTCTGACCCAAATAGATTACTTCTGCCTGACACAGTTGAGCTTTTTCCAGGTTTGCTCTGTGACCTTTGCTGTACATGAAATCAAGCAGCCGCCTGACATCCCTCTCATGTTCAGTTTTATCTTCTGAACAAATCAAAACATCATCAATATACTGAATGACAGCTGATGTTGAATCAAGATCTTTCAAATGTCTTTGCAAAGACTGTTGATAAATAGTAGGAGAATTGTGGTGACCCTGTGGCAATCTCGTAAAGGTGTATTGTTGACCTTGAATTGTAAATGCAAACCATGATTGGATTTCTGCAATCAAAACATGCATTAATTTTGAAGCTTGGTTTTCTGCTTGTGCCACATCTCTTGCAGTAATTAGCGATTCTTCAACAGTTAGATTGGTGTCAGTAGGGAAGGCTAAGCCCTTCTTCCTGTTACACACTCCTTTCCTAATTTCAGGAATTAACCCATTCAGCCAAACTGATAGGAAATGCCCTCCTTTGCCCGAAATTTTAATAAAACTTGATGGTTCACAGCCCACATCCAAGCCAGAGTAAAGTGAAAAGGTCTCACACAATCGTTCAGTGTAATCCTCAACACTTTCATCTGTCTTTTGTTTACATCTTGTGATTTCATTCCAATCTACTTTTTGCTGTTGTGCTTTCCTACACCAAGCCTTAAGTTTCTTCCATCCTTCCATCTCAGCTCTATCATCAGTCAGACGTTCACCACTTAAAGTTTCACCAAGAGCTTCTTTCAAACCTTTTCTGTCTGCTGATGACAGATTGACGGAGACTATGCTGAACCCATCTCTGACTGACAGAGAACAAATATCTTTCAGAGCTTCCAATCGAGCTAAAGCAGATCTTGTATCTTTTCTGACATTTCCTACCTCCTTTGACCACTCATACACTTCTTTAGAAGTTGGGGGTGAATATTTGTACTGCACAACATCTGAATCTCTGACCTCACGATCCATTAACACATTCCCTTCTTTTGTTTTCTGAAGATAAACCTCAGTCCGCTTTTTCCCCTTCTTGATGTTAACCCTCAATGATCTAAGCTTTGCTGTTGCCCCTTCACAATCATCGGTGTCTGTGTTAGAATCTGAATCTGTGGTCATATCAGTGTCACTACCAATATCACATGCATTCAAATCTGGTAAAACCTGCGTAATTTGCTTCTGATCAACAACCCTTTGTGTATCTTGAACATTAGCTGTTTTAGTTTTCTGTTCATTTTCAAGCTGAGCTTTTAACTCTTGACATCTATCTTGTAACCCCTTCAGCTTTCTATCCATGACTTCTTTGTCTCTGTTAAGATTGGCTAATTGCTGTTTAATTTCCCATTTCCTAAATTTAGACAAAGTGGCAAAAATCCAAGGAATTCGTCTTTATTCTCTGGTTTTCATTCTTTGAATTTTACCCCTTGCTTTTTTGATGTCTTTAGGTTCCCAAAGACCGTCCTTTTGCACCTTGATTTTACATTTAGCAACTATTTCTTGTTCTGCTTCTTTGACCTTAAAGTGCTCTTTCAGTTGTTCTTTCAGCATTTCAATTACATAATCTATTTTAACTTCTGACTCATCCATAACTGAAGAAATTATATAATCTGACCCAGTAGCCAAGCTACTCCCACAGCACGTACTGAATTTTCATGAAATGTCAAAACAGAACACACTCACTCTGCTTTGCAGTAGTTAAGCCAGGAGAAGACGCCTGCTGGAGTCACCCTGCTCCTCACTCGTGGCCCGGAGTCAGAAGCCCAGTGGTCTGGAACATTCCACCATCTGGTCGTGCGAGAAACAATCCAGACTCCGCTCTTATGGAGATAACAGCAGTGTTATTCCATCCTGCCGACTATGCCAAAATGTTAGATCAGGTCTCCACACCAGATAATAATTAGGATCCAGCCCCGGACGCCAGATCCCGTCAGAAAATATCAGTTTGTCCAGTAACAGAACAACTAGTCAGCAGCGCTGTTAATACCCAAACCCTGATAACAGCAAGTCTTGTCTGGTATCCAAAAATACCCAAAACGAGTGTTTAACAGTCTTCTGTCAGTAAAGAAGTTGACAAAGGAAAGCCAGAGAAGAGCAGAAGCGGAGACAAAGTGATAATGGTAAAAAGTAACAGAGTTTATTGAACAATCTTAGTTGCGTATGTCTCAATGTTCAAACTTGGTCTGGCCTGCACAAATTCAACATGTACTGTTATACCAAAACTGCTTCACAGTAGGGCTGTGCAATTAATCGCGTGATATTGTCATTGACAATTAGGCAATATCGCGTTAATTATCGCAGATTGAATCGCCTGCGATAATGAACACGATATTGCCTAATTGTCAGTGAACTACGGCTCTGTGTAGTAAATGCCGCACCATCTGAAAGCAGGTGATAGAGATTTACTACTAATAACGGAACCAGCTTTACTGACGACATGCACATGACAATCGCATGCGATTAATTGCATAGCCCTACTTCACAACAACATCCCATAAACCTTGGGTTTCCATAAACATTCCCTCTTATCTATCTCTTATTAATACAGACAAAACAATTCATGAAAACCCACAAGCATGAGATTGAACAACAATGAAAATGCATAAGCAAGGAAAAATATATAAGAAATATAAAATATAGAAACATAATAAACGGATAAACAATAAAAATACTTAAATAATATAATGATAAATAACAATAAAAATAATCAAATGATAATAATCAAATAATAAAAATAATTAAATATTAAATCATACGAATGACTAATGATTAGGCTATTAAATAATTATGCAAATAAATGATTATAAATGAATAAGAAAAAACATAAAAATAAAAACACAACACACAATTTGCATGTGAGGATCTAAGGATCCTTCATGTCTAAATCATGCAGTCTTCTTTGTAGCAAACATAACAAATAACAGTTATATCATTTATAATAACAAATCCTCTTAAATGAGAGACTACTTGAAATCATCAACAGTATTATGTAACAGCAAATCATTCTCATAGCATTCTGATTTTCTCAGAACATGACATTTGCAGCACTTGTTGGGATACAACTAATTAACAGTGTATGACTAATTTTTACGCTAGGTTATACACCTCTATACAAACACATGGGCTGCTTCTGAGTGTACGTTCAGAGCATAGACTGTTATGCTAATTGACAGAGCCTGAAATCTGCTTTTGTGTTAACTAGGGTCAGGGCTTCTCATTATGAACTTCAGACACAGGATGTGAGTCCACAGCTTTTTGAGAGCATCTTATTTAATTTTTTCCCTTACTACATGAAATTTGCATGAACAATGTTTTTGTTTAAAAACAGGGGTGAGACTGGGGCTAGTTGTCACAGTCATGAACCCATCCTGTGTATTAAGCGCACTGTATCTTTTATCAAATGTTCAGTAGTGTTCTTTTTTTGTTTTGTTTTTTGTAATAAAGACTTAACAGAAATTGGCTGCCAAAAATAACCTTTACCAAACGCTACCGAAAATTGGATTAAAACCACTTCTGTCTGAAAACATATTGTTTTGACTGTTCGATGTAGAAGAGAACTTGTTCTATTCTATGGGTATGTTCACATCTTACGAATATGTCAGTGATAAAAACAGTGCTTGATGTGTTTGTTAGGTTCGGTCAGAGAGCAGCTGCAATACTGATGACCTGCTCTATTGAGGATCCAATGCAGTTGCCAGCAGATACTTCATCCCAAACACCAGATACTGAGTTTAGGTCAGTCATTCATTCATTCACCTAGTGCTCAACAATAACACGTTCTTTTCTACTGTGCAACAGTTCAGATTTCTCTTGCCCTGACATATTCACTTGCATGCATGTGTCAGAAATATATATATATATTAGAAATAAATATATATACATATTTTAACTGAAATTGTATTTATTTTGCTAAAAAATAATTCATTTTTAACAAATTGTTTAGGTTTTTAATTTGCCAACACAACTATAAACACACTTTGGCTGCAAAATAGTGGTATGCAGTTATATATGGCATATTGCATTGCATATATGGCATTATAATATGGCATATTGCATACACTGATTACTGCCTATATTGTCAACCAATTTTTGCTGACGCTTCCAAACTATCAAAAATCATTCTTGCAATTTTAACAAAACTAAACTAACTGTAAGATTGAATAAAAATGCAGCACTGTCACACTAACAGGCATGTGCCATTTCTGTTAACTGGTATAAAATTTCTTGCACTGTACTTTGGGCCATGCAAGTGGTTGAACCCTAATACCCTAATATCCTTGGTCAGAAATGGTCTAATCTGACTTCAAATAAAGTAATTTAACTCTGTCATAACTGTGTGATGTTTAAACACCATCTTCAGGTTTGGAAGGCATGCTGACGCCATCTTTACCAATAGCTACCGAAAAGTTCTCGGTCAAATATCTGCCAGAAAATTTCTTCAAACTGTTATGGGCAAAAGACTTGGGTATGTTTTTTTTTTTTTTTGGACAACTATAACTAAATCATTTATTGTTTTTAATTAAATAATTTAGTTTTAGGTACCCCGTCTCTGATCCACTTTTTTACATTCTACTAATTAATCTCGTGATTTAACTACATAATTTAATAATGGTGTGTCCCATGATGTTTAATTCTTTTCTTTTTTTTCTGTCAACAGACCAGAAACACAAAACTATGTGAAACGCCAGTTGGGCTTATATGAAGACACCTTCAAGCAAGATGTGGATATGGATGTCATTGAGAGGGAACAAAGTTACAGAGAACCACGAAGACTTAAGTTCTCAGTAATTACACAATGATTAAATGTGAACAGTCTTTATACTTGCATTTGCCACATTTTACACTGGATTATTAAAACTCAGTTCACCCTTCATACAGTTTTCTGTGCACTGTGTATTTTTACAGCCAGTGTTCAGAAGGTCTGCCACAGGAATCAGAAGTCCCAACCTAAAAATACACAAGCAAGTACATATGGTTGTATAGTGGTATAATCATTCATTAAGCCACTCCTTAAAAACACTGATGACAAATCATACCTGAAGAACTTGTGCCAAATTATACTGAAAAAGAAAAATGTCACCTTTCACTCAACTTTATTTCGAAGTTGACAAATCTAAGATGACATTACTCTCATGAATAAACACGTTAGAAAGACTAGAAAAGAGAAAGTACCTCAAAGCAACAATAAGATGAAATAATGTGTGATGTGAATAACAATGTAGTGAACACACCTGTTATCACTGACACACAAGTTGGAAAACCTGTAATCACTGAAACAAAATTGAGCACACCTGTGATTTCCAACGCATGAACAACATGAAAAAAGTGTTTAAATACCAAGCAGCCAACCAACGAATGAACTGTAATTGAACACCAGAACTTTCTGCTTTTTGGATTAAAGACTGTGGCTCCAAGGACTAAAAAAAACGCTGCCTGAGGATGCATTCCAAGGTAGGAAGGCATCAAGGCACATCCGAATCTAATGTCAGATTCACTTCCCGTCTCCGGAGATGCTCTCATCTGATCGATTTTTGAAGGCAGCATAGACGTATCCTTCGCTGCCTTTGATATCCCACAATCCTGTGTGTTCAGTTCCGTAAAAGTTGAGTTTAAAAAATAAAGATGGTGTCTGAAAGTTGCATTTTGTGGACAGTTTTTGTGCGATTCTGACCAACTTTTGATGTTACTTCTAGCGGGAAATCAGTATTATATTAAATATTAGCTTACTTCCCACCAAATCTCATTCTATATTGTTACAGATCATTAAACCTGCACCCAAAAAGTTAAGAGCAGCCAACACTTGTCCAACACACACACAAAGCCCTTCAAAATGGCTAGATTTCTTTAACATGTTTTGGTTACTACATAATCCCCATACTTGCATTTCATACTTGTTAAAATCTTTATATTTTCTACATTTTAGAATAGTAAAGAGTTCAGTATTATATTAGCCGTCCTGCTCTCTGAAAACCAGTATCGGCCACTAAAAAAACACAAAACAAGCAAATGTGTTTTAATGGTTTTATTTATTTTAAAAAACATTGTGTTAGCCATCTGTGTGGTGATGACTGGAAAAATGATTCCACATTTCTGTTCAGTTGATGACAAAAAAAAAATAATCCCCATACTTGCATTTCATACTTGTTAAAATCTTTATATTTTCTACATTTTAGAATAGTAAAGAGTTCAGTATTATATTAGCCGTCCTGCTCTCTGAAAACCAGTATCAGCCACTAAAAAACACAAAACAAGCAAATGTGTTTTAATGGTTTTATTTATTTTAAAAAACATTGTGTTAGCCATCTGTGTGGTGATGACTGGAAAAATGATTCCACATTTCTGTTCAGTTGATGACAAAAAAAACCTCTTGCTCTGATGGTATGACAAAGAGTAAAAAAAAAAAAAAAAAGCCCTCAAACAGGAACATACTTCACTATTCATTACAAAAATCTGACGACAGGAATCTGTATTCAAAACAATCAAATGAACATCCTTCCAAAAACAGGAAACAGCAGTAGAATATCACAAACTTTCATTTGCATTACCAAACACAATTCAATGTACAAGCAACAATCATCATCATATCCTCAACGTATTCATCTGAAAGTGATTTGCCAAAAAAAGAAAACTGCATGTTTCTTAATTGTCAAATTCAATTTGTATTTTTTGAAAATTCCAGAACATTCTGGCCTGCATCTTTGTTTCTCTTTTAAACCACCACCAATACTTCTATTCCCAAATTTCACCATGGTCTTCTCGATTTTGCCAGCATCATTTTCCATCAAGTCTGAAAAAGAGAACAAAGTACTGATTAAAACCAAATTTGTACTTCCTGTAGGGAATAGCAGTGCTTGCAAGGTAGCAAAAGCTTAGGTTTTACCTCAAACAGGAACATACTTCACTATTCATTACAAAAATCTGACGACAGGAATCTGTATTCAAAACAATCAAATGAACATCCTTCCAAAAACAGGAAACAGCAGTAGAATATCACAAACTTTCATTTGCATTACCAAACACAATTCAATGTACAAGCAACAATCATCATCATATCCTCAACGTATTCATCTGAAAGTGATTTGTTGTCAAAAAAAGAAAACTGCATGTTTCTTAATTGTCAAATTCAATTTGTATTTTTTGAAAATTCCAGAACATTCTGGCCTGCATATTTGTTTCTCTTTTAAACCACCACCAATACTTCTGTTTCCAAATTTCATAAAAAAGAAAAAAACATGAATATGAAACATCCATGGTCTTCTCGATTTTGCCAGCATCATTTTCCATCAAGTCTGAAAAAGAGAACAAAGTACTGATTAAAACCAAATTTGTACTTCCTGTAGGGAATAGCAGTGCTTGCAAGGTAGCAAAAGCTTAGGTTTTAAACTGCAGTTCTTCGTAACCTGCAATGCAACATTAACCTTTTTGTCATCAATCACACTGCAGTTGGTTAAACAGATGCAGGAAAAGACCAATCACTAAACAGTATTCAAATATCCACGACATCATCTGTTGGTTATCTTTTGAATGCTAAAATCAAACAAAGTTAATGGAACACTTTCAAACCCTAAACAGAATGTTTGACAAGCATAAATACAGTGCTGCACTGCAAGCAAGGTCAGTATTATCATTAAAAAAGAAAATTATTATTTAAAAATGCAATACTGTATTAATTATGACCAATCACCTTCACTATTCAAAATCATTTTAGGAAGGGAAATTTCCAAGAATAAATTGCATACATTGAGCATAGTTTATTAGCATGCATCATGTCTGCAGTGCTTCGGCATGATTCAAAAACACATGCAAATTAGATACTGGGGCAAACATCAGACACCGTTTGCACAGAGCAATTCCTCTTTAGCAGGCCAGTTATGAGTACTAGGTTAAGAAGGATGCAGCAGACTACAACGATCTGCACTCAAAAATATTGTAATTTTGACTGTAAAAATGCTATAGTAAACACATATTAATTGGTTAATGGTAGGTTCCTTTACCATATACAGGGGAAAAAAACTGTCATAGATTTAGCCTATTCTTGATTTGTCATTTCATGTTATTTTATAGTATAATACTGTTAAATGTGCAATTTAAATACTGACAAACCATACACTGTCATTCCCTGCGACACTTCACATTCGATTGGATTTGATTTAAATCATTGTTTATTGGTAGTTTTTGTTAGATATGTATATTGGTTATTTTAGTCTGTATGATACCATGCACCTACTATATATATTAGAATTTTATTCAGCTTGTGGAAAGGCTACTTGTGATGAACTTTTATTCTTCTTTACCACCTGTTACAAAACTGATTTTAGTAGCAGTGTAGCCTAGCCGCTGTATTTAGGATTTCTCTCTTTTTTTTTTTACAGGCTGTTCTGTAAAGATGTTTGTATTTATATTAACACTGCAAATATTCTTTGTGCCAGGCAAATAGCGCTGCTATTTGTGAACCAAGTGAAGCCCTATGATGCCCCTTATTTGTATAGAAACACATTTGCACTGAAAATAATAGTTTAGTGAATGCTTGGAATTTATAGAGTAGTTGGTCATATAGAACTTTAATCAGGCAACTCCACAACTGGGAAATGACAAGCAATTTATCACATAGGGCCTAAACTGTAGTTCAGTGGTCTGTCACTGAACACACTAATGAAGTGAAACACAAGCCAACAAAAACAAGTGATCACAACACTCCGATCAATAAAAAGCATGACATGAAAAATATGGCTTGACAGTCACAAATGGCATTATGTTTCAAAGGAAGTTGTGAGCTTCACTCAGCAAACACACCAACATAGCCATGCAGTAGGTGTTGTCATGGAAATGTTGATGCCATATTATGGGATGCACAGGTGGCAACAGCAAGCCTTACTTCAGCCTGAAGACTGGCCTTTCTTTTTGCAAAACATTCAGGCATTTATCGCAGACTCCTATATTTTGCCAACCTACTACTTTGTTCTGCAGCAATCCTAAAGGAAGGGTAAAGAAAGAGAGGGAATGGAAAAACGCAGAAGGGTTAAAGAAACAAACACTGAGACAAAGTGTTTTCACACCAAGAACGATAACTATAAAGTTATAGAGTCCACACCAACGGACAATAACGTTATTTATGCCACCTGCCCCTTTAAATGCACACTTTAAAGTCAGTTGAATTCTGATTGGATTGTTTTTATTGTTCATCAGCTGAAAAAATTAAACTGTTCTTAATGAGATTCCAATAATATTGCTCTTCATTTTTGTTATACATATGGTGTGGACTTGCCTATTCTTATAGAGTAAGAGTGATTATTAAAAATTTTATAGTTACTATAGTGGTGTGGATGTCCCTAAATGCTCCATTCAGCTTGGCCTGGCAGTCAAAAGGCCGCTGTATTGTTGGCTGCTAGTATGTGTTTCTACTACTAGATGCCCCAATATTATTGGTGGGCTGTGTAATAGGCTATATATTTTGAAAATCTGCCAACTAATGACATGTATTGGCAGTAAAAAAGATGTTTAAACATGACAACAGTATCTCATGGTAGATGGATGAGCTCCATCGAAACTTTTCTCATCTGTCACATCACCAACTCTCATAGATAATGATTTTAGGTCACTTCGCTGTTGCTTGCTTTATGCACAAATGTCCATTTGGAAAAAGAGATGGGACTCAAGACAAGTGGAAGTCAAAGCCTTGCATTAAAGGCATAGTTCACCCAAAAATTTGATGTTTATCTGCTTACCCCCAGGGAATCCAAGATGTAGGTGACTTTTCTTCAGTAGAACACAAAGGATGATTTTTAACTCCAACCGTTGCAGTCTATCAGTCGTATAATGCATGGCAATGGTAACAAAATCTATGAGAGTAAAAAAAAACATGCACAGACAAATCCAAATTAAACCCTGCGGCTCGTGACGACACATTGATGTCCCAACA